TCTCCCCCCATCTTCCCCTTCCCCTCCTGGTATCGCTACTCTCATTATTGCTCCTGAGGGGTTCCTTTCAATGCTTATTCAGTGCTCAACAATTGGACCTATCTTCTTTTAAAAGTAAGATATAAGAGAAATGTAGCCCCTGAGAATCAGCAGGGTAATTAGAATGGGTAACAATGTCTAACTTACAGCCCCAACATTTTCTATGTGTCAGATCCTGGTCCCATTCCAAGATAGTCCGGTGGAAGTGGAACAGAACACAGACCTCCCAGACTACCTGCCTGAGGATGAGAGCCCCACGAAGGAGCAAGATAAAGCCGTGTCCCGGGTTGGTTCGCACCCAGAAGGTGGAGCCAGCTGGTTGAGCACAGCTGCAAACTTTTTATCCAGATCATTCTACTGGTGACTTCAATGTGGGGCTGAAGGACTGTGTGAACCACCAAGGAGCAGCGTTCCATTGTGGTGGTGAACTGTCAAGTGCAATTTGCAATAAATTATCATGAAAAGTTTTTAGATTATATGATTACGTATGCTGCATTTTACATTTTATTGGACATTTTACTCCACTAAGTGGTTAAAAGGACAAAGGCGACTGTGGGATCGCTTTGTCTGTGAAGGTGTTTTTGGTTTTGTTTCATTGCCTCACTTTTTTTTTATTTGGGTCCACTGTTAAACCAAACACATATGTGCAGCTTTACGTTTTATTGTATAAGGCTAAGTCAAAAGTATTGCTACAATATCATAGAAATCTTTATTAAACAAAAAGCAAAATGTGAAGGCATTTTCTTGGCATATCGTTCATCTAGGTTTATACACTTCTGAAGGTGTTGTTTTCCGTCTCTCTGACCCCTCCCTAAAGACATCTGGGCTCCAGATATACTACATTCAGATGGCCGTGTGGAGAACTCCAAAGGACTTAAGTTATGTACCTTTTCAATCTTCTCTGTATTTTGGGAACAAAAAAAAACTCCGAAGGGGCAAATTTAGGGCTCTAGTTTGGGTAGGGTAAAGCCCCCCAAAGAAATTTCTCAGGATAGCCCTTTGCAGCCCTTGAAGAATGCATAGGTGTATCGTGATGGGGGTGGAAGTCATTTGGCACAACTGTCCTCGCCTTAAACTTCTGCACGACAAGCCCTCGTGGTCATCCGTGTCATCTGAGGAAGTCCATCAAGGACTGTCCCTTTGGAGTCCTCTGGACAGTCACTCAGCCTTTGGAGCTGACTCTGCCTTGAACTGATTCCCCTGGGCTCTCGGAAGTCGCTTTTGTATCGAACTCTCAGTTTCTTGTTTTTTTTAATGTGCACTGAGCAGACTGTGTTGAGTGTATTACTGAGAGAACTTGTCTGCAGCCCTCTGATCTGATCACAGATACGTTTTATTTGGAATAAATCTGTGCATGCATGAACGAGAACCCCGGTAGCAATACTTCTTGACTTATCCTCTTATCTCAAGCCCATGATTAGGAAATCTCATTTTCTCCTCAAGCCATGGGACCTAGCTGAAGAGGTTTTTGTTAAGCTCAATTTGTGCATGAATGACAGAACACATTTTCTTTCTTTTCTTCATAAAAGATACTTAATTTGGGACCTTTAACTGAAAGTCAAAAACGTTTCTCATTTTACCCCCCTTTGTGCCTTTTTATTTGCCAACCGTGTTCATACAAAGGACATTGCTAACGACATTTTGTGAATTAAAGTATAGTAATCCATTGTCATACAAATTCTACAAAAGCTTTGCAGTCTAATTTTTTACAGTAAGATGAACTAAATCAGCTGAGAAGAAACACATTTGTATATTAGCAAAGTGTTTTCAAAGAGCCTTTGAGTGAAAAGTGTGGTTCTTGTGAACTAGTGTTCAGTTGGTTTCGATCAGCTCTTGAGAGAGATAGCTAGCATGCTGTTGCAAGAAACCCTAAGTGGTCTCTAGGCCACTTGGCAAGTGTACACTATTCCCTGCTAGGAAAAACGTAAACATAGCAAAGAACTGACAGACTTGAAAAAAGCAAACGAAACTGAATGCCGGTAATGCTGTAGTGCCGCTTTGAGCAAGGTGACAGAGTCCCTGGTGGCGCAGTGGGTTAAACTGGGCTGCTAACTGGAAGCTTCATTATTGGAATCCACCAGCTGCTCTGCAGGAGAAAGGCGAGTCAGTCCTTTCCCACACAGACTGAGTCTCAGAAACCCCAGGGCTCAGTTCTACTCTGTTTTGTGGTGTCTCTGAGTTCGAATCAACTCCATGGCAGTAGGCTTGTCTTTGTTTGGGTTTGAACCGTCAAACATGCCTTGCCTGGCACAGCTGTTCAGTAGGTGCTTTCCTTTCTATGATCGCCTTTTGTGAGTTAATTAAGAAAATGCTGCGATTGTATTGATATAAAAAAAAACAAAGCTAAATTATTGCTTCTCGAGAAAGCCAGCACTGTATCATAATGTGTTTTTTCCTATCCAGCCATAAAAAAATGAACCTCAGTAAAGGTAAGATATATATGTATGAATGTATATGTTGTTTTTGATAGGTAAGAGGAAACTGCATGTATGCAATGCCATAGGAAGTTTATGAGATATTTGGCAACCAAATTTTTTTTCCCCTTTTATTGGAAATAAAGGTAAATCCAGATAAAATTTAATGCTATATGATTAGAAATAAGGAATCAATTTTTTTTGGTAACCAACGTGCAGGGCTGCTATTTTACTACTTGGAGAAAGTGAAATGAAAATTGAATCCCGGAGGGTTTCTTTACACTTCATTCCCTCTCTTTCAAAAAATAGGGGGGCGGGGGGAAAGCATCCAGTTTCAGTGGGGAAATTTATGTAAAATCTCATCACCGGGGAGAGTCTTCAGTTCACCTACATTGTGATCTTCTGGAGGAATGGGTTCAGAAGGAGATTTTCAGACTAGATACTTGCTTACATTTTTCCCCCTCTGTCTAGGCTGTGACTCAAGGAACACGCACAAATTGAAAATACAAGTTTCAGGAGCATCTATTACTTTAAACGCATAGTGCAACTTGCTGCTAGACCCAGCTGTGTTGAAAAGAAACAAAATCACCTCTTTTCTATAGCCATTAAAACAAAGTTTACTGTTCTGTTTTAACAAGTGTGTATTTTAGTTTGCATTGCTACACATCTGCTTATTTAACAACAGCATCCCTTTGGTAGTGATGGTTCAGTACAAGTAGATAATCCAGCTTGATGTTTGTGTGTTCTAATTCCAAGTATTCTTTTATTCCAGGTCTTATAGAGCAGTTAAGGCAAGTGTAAAGGGATTTTTTGAAATATATTGTAAAATAATAAAAGGTAACAATTAAAATGAAAAGGATATTGTATTTTTGTGCTATCGGCATTATTGATTACTCTGTTTATGTATTCACTCTCAGGCACATTCTCCTTGTTCCCTGAAATTATGATACCTACATCTCCCATTCATTTCCCTCATGATACCACAGTTTCTCTTCTCCAAGATTAGCCGTTCCTATCCCTATACTCATCTTAGCATTTATCACATTTTAGTGAAATTGCCTAGTCACCATGTCTCTTCCCATCTTACATATCTCTTTTTTGAGAACACAGGAGAGACTTCTTCCCCATTAACACTAGCTGTACTTTCTTTGAA